GTGGAGGAGGTGGTGAAAAAATATACTATCCTTTAATCTTTAATTTTTAATTAATATTAATAGTTTATTATTTAATTTTTGTCAAGGTCGAATATTTTATCCATGTGGAATGCCATGTGTCAAGGTTTTTTCAAATAAAAGAGAGAGTGTATTACACACACCACTGAAGTGTGTTTCTCAAACTAAAAAGTGATAGTTTAGGTATGAAACTCACACCCTCAATAATTTAGGTATGAAACTAAAAAAAAGAGGATAGTTTAGATGTATTTTTGACACTTATCACTTAAAAAAAGGAAACTTACATAAATATTAAATATTAAAAAAATTATTTACCATTTATAGCAATACCATTTCCTTTTACTTGATCACTTTTAATACATGTGATATATAATTTTAATACATATTATAGAGAACAATTTATAAAACACATATAAAACAAGTTTTATTGATAAATAATATATATATCACACATTTTAATACACTTATAATACAATGTGTCAATTTCTTAACAAACAAGCATAATATATTTTTGAACAGTTATAATACATATATATTGTATACATAATTCATTTTTAATACATATTGCAGTATTTATCATAGTATTGCTATATATTGCTACAAATGATAATAAATAAAAAGTATCGCTAAAATTAGTAATTATTTATTAAAAGTTACATTTTTAAGTATTTTTTCCTAAAAAAAGGGATAAGTGGGCCCCCTTTTTTCTCTATTATTTGGTTTTTAATATTAATAAAAAGAACTAAACTACTAATTTTAAAAACTTAGAGGACTTAAAATAGCATTTTAAAAAGTGTGATAAAAACTTAAAGGGAAAGGTCTATTAAAAGGACAAACTAGTTAGTCAATAAGGTTGGAGTCCTTCAAGTCTTAAATATTGGGTAGAAGTGACAAATAAATAAATTATATTAATTAGGTAATAGATGTTTTCTCAACAGTCTCAAATTTTTAACTTTTACACTTTTGCCTATATATTTTTTATCTTAAAATATCTAAAACTTTACCAAAATAGACACAAAAAAGGTGTTTTCTCAACTCCATCCTCTTCCCATTGATCGTCTTCAACAACAGGTATATTTTTCAATACCTTTCTTCTTCTTCGTGATGTTATTCTTCATCTTCCTTTATCTACAAATATTTGTGCTTTTATTGAGAAGATCTATCAAGAAAAATTTATGAAAAAAGAAGATCTATATATATATGTTTGAGTTTTTTTGTATTGCATTTGTTTTGTTTGATATTTGAATTAACTAAAAAGAGCATTATTGATAAGTATAAAAACCATTTTGTGTCCATTCTTAAGCTAGGTTTAGTGAACCCAAATTAATTGTTTCAGTCAACAACTTTCGTAGTTGTCCGGGAAACTACTGGAGTTGTTTATTGAAATAATTAAATATGTTTGTATGTTGATGTCCAACAATTGTCTTTAGTTGTCCGGCGATAATAGAAGTTGTCCCAACAACTAGTGCAGTTGTTCGACAACCGCGTGTTGTTATTGGTCAATTGAAGAATTATAAAAATACCTACAACTACAAAAAATTTCAGACTATTGTTGATAGTTATGAAACGACGAAATAGATGTAAAAACAAGTAATCAATATTCTTTAGCGATTTCAAAGTTGTTTGATGAATGTCTCACTAGTTGAAATTTTTTATGATGTCTTTAGGTGTTGTGTTCAGTTATGGAAGATCAAATAATAATAGCAGTTGATTTACATGGTGAATGGGTAGGGAGTCATACTCGTTATACTTGATGATCAAAGGATCGAGAAACAGTACTAATAAAGATAAACGAGAATGTTACGTATAATGAGTTGGTTGAGATCATTATTTCTAGGTTTGGGTTAAATTGTGATAAAGATGATCTCTTTATTACTTACATGTTTGGCTTCATTGAAAAGCAAAAAAGAGCTTGTCACGACCCGAGTCTACACTCTGGACGTGACCGGCACTCGAAAACCATTGTTGGTCCCCAAGCGAACCCTCATCTAGGCTGACTACAAGCGGAAGACTAATTCAAGCATACAAAAACTTAAAAACTAAATTAAGTTCATTAACTCAAATACTCAATCTTTAAAAAGATTTAAAAACTACTCAATAGATGAACTCAAAGTTTGTAAAAACAACTCAAAAAAGATACATACTAAAAACTACTCAACTTTGTATATCTATGAAGCTCTACTATTACAGAAGGATATCGGACAAGACCCACGATATCTCAAACCTACTAACTGTAAGATAAAGGTAAAGTCCTTCGGAATATGAAAAGGCTCACCTGTATCTACATCATGAAACGATGCAGGCCAAATGGCTCAGTACGTGGAATGTACGAGCATGTAAGGGGAATTCAAAGCATAAACATAGGCTTGAACTCGATAAAAAGGAAACACACTTACCTCTTCTCTCAACTCACTCAACTCAACTCAACTCAAAGAAACATGGTTCAACTCAACTCAAAGAAAATAAGACTCAACTCAATAAGGAGATATTCAACTCAGTAAAGAATGAACAACTCAATAATAAGATACTCGACTCTCGATACTCAACTCTGGATACTCAACTCAATATAAAGCAAAATAAAAATGCAATATATGGAAATCTTTTAAAACAGTAGAAAGCAACTCAATTTATTTAAGAATACAATAATAACTCAGTTTGTATGCAAGGATACAAAATAACTCTGCTTGTATATGAAAATACAAAATAAACTTTGTGCATATAAGAATACAAAATATCTCTATGGGAGTTTCTCTAACCGACAACCATCACTATGAGCTATGTGATGATACAACATCTCGGCCACGCTGCCAGAACTGTCCTATACTTTTGCCAGGGTATAAGACCTCTCAACTAAGTGGATCCACTAGTCTATGCTAAAAGGCATTAAGGAATCATCTAAAAAGTATGACCATTTCTATCCACGTTGGCTACATTGTTTATGGGGGCTGTAAGTTGTATGAAGTCTCCCTTATATCGGTGTTCAATACTACTCCCAAAATATACTAGCTCATATGTTTAAAAACATAACTCTTTATGTGGTTTGAGATTATTACTCAAAAATCTTTCTCATAAAAGAGATGGTACTCCAACAACTCAAAACTCTTTTGGAAATCTGAGTTTCCTCTCATC